TCGATAGAGTCCCATTCTTGCCTCCGCCTGGATCACTATGTGAAGAGGCGGAAGGTCCAGAAGCGCCTCCATTGATGCAGTGGGCGTTGATTTCATCGCCCCTGTTATGCTCAGACAAGCAAGTCTTTGCACCTTGCTGAGGCTGAGCATTGTTGTTTGTGGCATTACCTTAGGCCACCATACCAAGGATGCATATGTTACTGATGGCCTCACCACTCCAATGTACAGCCAGTGCATCATCTGTGGTCTAAGGCCCCAGATTTTTCCATGAAGGCGTCTGACTACCGCTAGTGTAGTCACCGCCCTAGTTGTGACATTTTCCAAATGTCGGTTCCAGGTCAGTTTGGTATCAAGCGTGATTCCTAGATACTTGACCTCCCCCGAGAGAGGAATCTCATCACCGCAGAGTCTTAGAGGGCCTAGTCCCTCAAGTATTCTGCGCTTGGTGAAGGGGATTATTACGGTCTTTGTAGGACTAATATTTAGTCCCTCCCGTGTCACCCATAATTCCACAATCTTCAAGGCTCTCTGCAAATCGTCTGCATATCCCAGAGTGTTGAAACCAGCCCTGTTGAGACTATTAATCAGTTCGTCCATAACGAGATTCCACAGCAGAGGGGAGAGAACTCCCCCCTGCGGGCATCCTCCCGCCACCCGGACTGCAACAGTCTCATTTAGGAGGGTAGTATATGCCACTCGACTTTTGAGCATGCAGTCTATCCACTTGCAGCAGGTCTCCTCTAATCCGAGGTTCCTTGTAGCTCTCGTCAGTGACTGAAATGAGGTGTTATCAAACGCCACTTCTATGTCGAGGAATGCCCCTAAAAGCACTTCTCTTGTTTCGAACGTCGACTCCACTTTGCTTACTAGCTGATAGAGTGCCGATTCGGTTGAATTTAGGGGTTAAAATGAATCTAATAACCGAGAAAAAATATCCCAAAAGGCAGGATCTTTAGGTCAAATATAAAGGTGTCGGTGAACATTCAAAGTTTTCCATTTAAATAACACGTAAAAAAATCTGTTTCCATTTAAAGTACCATAACTTTGAAACGGTTTACGATAAAACATTTTACATCGCAGATTCTTGTAGAGTATAAAATTTACTAAAAAATCTACCTGAAAGTAATTATCTCAGAGGAATCTAGTTTTCTTTTATCAGATAGCCGTAATAAAGTGGCTATAAGAATGTGCAATTAGTTTTTTGATTTTCTAAAAAGTAACGATAGGGGAAAAATAAAATTGATTTTCAAAAAAATCCATTTTTTCCAAAACCTCAGCAAATTTGAAATTTTTAAAACTTTTTTGATGGCATCTTGGTGAATAACCTAAGGGGGAACTTTGCGCCAATTTAACTATCTTCGTATCTATTATGATGTCTTCTGATGTGTGTCAAATACTCGTCAGCGAGTAATGGCAGTAGTATTGTCTTAGTATTTTCGTTAACACGGCAGCACTAAGCTCCCACTCCCATCCGTTCCATTACCTATCATAATGACGCTCGAGTTCAGTTCAGGTTTTCAAGTTTATTTTCAATAAATCTATTAAAAATCCGACGATGTATGACTACAGATAAACCGTCTTCTACTCGACTGCACCTCGTATTAGCAAATAATAAAATTAATCGACGGCGCGGCGCTGGGTTTTTTGCCAATGTCACACGCCGAACCCGATTAGCGAGGCAGCCACGCCATTCCTCATTTCTCGGTACTGACTAATACACGAGCAATATTATTTATGTTCCCCCACTGGCCGAATTCGGTTAACTAACAGTGCGATGAGCTGCATTAGTTCCGAAAGCTATGTGTGTTTGCCAAGTTAAAAGATAACAAAACCCGAGCGATAACATTTCGCCACATTCATTTAAACATCGATCGGTTTGTGTAAATCGAACGAAGTACAATTGAG